AAAAATGTAGGATGCCAATGACCTCAACTCTTGGTTGGGCATAAAAGCATTTTTATCGAGTCAGCTAAAAAGTAGTGCAATGGCAACATAATCAGCACCAAAGGGAAATATCTCCAGATTTTCAGCAATGAGGCTATTTCAAAGCTTTCTACATGTCTGTACCAGAGGAGCCAATATGTGTGTAGGAATAAGATGATAAATTACCTTTGTCCATTCAATGAGCTTGAGAAAAGTGTCCCATGCTAGCTGGTTGGGTTGTAAGGTCCCCATGTAAAAGGTGGGTCCAGCTGAAGGTTCTCTTTGTGGGGATGGGTCGGACTTCCGACTGTTTGAATGAGGCCATCCTCTTGAAATGGCTGCGTCAATGTCCAACGGGTAGATCTTCCAGTCTGTCAGTACATCTTTACCCAAGATCAAGTTGCTCACCAAGCCCTAAAACACAGAAATACTGTTAGCAAGAGAACCATAGTTTCTGTGTGTACAGTTTGACTGATGTTGGTCATATTTAATGTTGCCTTGCCTTATAGTCGTTGATCTTGCTGCCAAAGTTAATTCTGCCCATGTTTTCAACTAGAATATCCAACGTGTCCCCCTGTTTTCCTGTAACATTCATCACGAGTGCGGTATCTCTCTGCAACAACCCCTGGAAAACCTGTTTGAACACATTTACATTAGCTTCCAAAAGGACAACACTATACTTAGATTTATAATGTTAATCTATATTTTCCGCACTGACCCGGAAACCTAGATGGCTAGACAAACAAAAGTTCACAGAAAGCTCTTACCCCATTGACTGACACATAAGCACGGTCATGAACCCCATTCAGCGGTGATATAAGTGGCGTGGGCTCTGTGAGGTCGTGGGGCAGCGTGGTCCGGTACAGCATGTACCCATAGTACTGGACACAATGGACATGACAGGTTGCAGACACAACAATCTAGTTTTCTCTATTTCAAGAGGTCTACTGTCTCTGTGCTGCTAGCCTTTTCTCTGTTGTTGACTTCAGAATAGCACCGTACCTGTTTCATCTCTTCAAACGTCAGAGGATACTTGGATTGGACTGGCCCAAGAGGAGAAATTGTCTCTAGCAAACTGCTAATGTTTCCAATCTGTAAAGATGGATCATAATGAGTCACTCAAACATTTTAAAATGTGTTTGCCCAAAATCTTGTTTAAATTTTACTACCTTTTCCAGCGTAACGAAGCCATAGGCAAACTTGGGAGTTGCTGGCGGCATGGGACCAGCGGGGATGTCTCTAAACTAATGATAAATAATGATTTGTTACTTTTACCAAAATTAATCAGGACATCTCAACAAATTAGAATATCACTTAAAAGCGGGTTTATTCAAGTAATTCAGTTCAAAAACTAACACTCAAAAAGTACAGTAAGAGTTTATTCCTATTCATTTCGATGACAATGGCTTAAAGTAAAAATTTTGCTTTCCATACATACATTAGAATATTACACAAATTATACAATCATGGGAAAGCTGCTGACTTTACATTTTTACAGCAGACAGTTATTGACAACCTCTATTTGGAGGGTAAGTCTCAAAAGATCACTTCTAAAGACATGTTCTATACACACAGCAATATAATTATGTATATCAATGGAAATGTTTTGTGGAAGATAAAAAACAAATGTTGAGTAAGCCTTAAGAGGTTTGTGAAGCACAGCATGTTAAATAGTGATTCAGTATTTCATGCAAAAGGACTCTATGCTCATGTACTCAAGAGTACAAGACACTATTAAAAATCCTTTTTTATTGGCATAATGTAATATTCAAAATCTTGACAGCGAGTGTTGGGTTTTCATGAACTGTAAGTTATCATAAGGGTTAGTTAATGACTGAAATTTATTAGTGTGCAATTAACTAAATAAGAGTTTTACGTTTTGAGATAAATAAATAAACCTTTTGATTATGTAATTATTGGGAATTACTTGTAACTTGTTTAGTTATTCCATCACCGTTACCTGCTTTATGACATCTCTGATGGCCAACAGCTTCTCTGTGGGGTCTCCTGCCTCAGTCAGCGGGGCATCGTAATCGTAGCTTGTCACCACAGAGCGGAACCTGCTGTCATGATCAGCACCTTTGAAAGAGGAGAGAGCCTATTAGGAGATCTCCACACTAATGTTAAAAACCATAAAAATAAAAGGTACTTACCGTTCCAGTAGCCAAAGTTAGTCCCTCCTTCAAACATGTACCTGAGAGGAAAGAAGGGTAGAGAACATGAGTTCCGAGAAAGATATCTTTAGTAAAAGCTGTGAGGTTCTGTCTCTATCTTTGTACAGATCTTAACTCAGGTTGGTGGAAGATGAGCAGCATTCAAGCATTAAACATTTCCCCAGGGACATACAAATTGTTCAAGGAATCAATTTTACTCAGCTTCTTTGCATTTCAGTAGATTTAAAAAAAAAAGCTTTACCATGAAGACCTGGTACAAAGACTCCAGGAAATAAGTAGGAAAGTAGCAAAAAACAAATGTTTTGATATCCTCAGAAAGCCTGGAGAAGTGTTGATTAATGACACTTAGATAACAAAGTTTTAGTAGTTGGAAGCAAAGGAGATAGTCACTGGGAATAGTTTAACAATACATCATCACATCCAGATATGTTCTTCTAGCTGAAAATTAGCTTTTCTCATTATTTTCTAAAACTCTATGCCCTGAAGTATGTAAATCAAATACCCAAAAGTACATAATTGGCCTGGGCTCTCTACTTGAAGTCAATGCCCTGGTCTGCTAACTTATCAAATATGTGTGGAGAGAAGGAAAGCTGGAAGCCTGGGAGTTCAAGGAGACATACATGTTGACGCTGGCCCCCATGGTTAGCATTTCTTCAAGCACTCTGCTGACCATCTGAGCTCCAACCACTGCATGCTGATCTCCCCAGTGATCCAACCAGCCTGTGTAGAACTCTGAGTTCACCTGGAAGACATCTAAAACGGTTACATCCATAAAACATCACCAGGTCAGAAGATGACGATGGATGGGCTGGTGTGCAACAAACCAGGGGTCCTTGAGGCTCGAATCTTCTCTGGCGCTTGAAGGCTACAGTTATGTTGGTGTCTGAGGGAAATCAGGTAAACAATGAATGATGAAGCTGCAATTTCCGTTACACAGTCAAATACCACCAACCTGTGCCAAAGTCCACCGTGGCATACAACCCATCCAATGATCCACATGTCATCTCCTTGTCTGTGTTTCCATCAGTGGTGAAGAGAATGACGTCCTCGCCGAGAAAGAAGCGGAACAGCGTCCGCAGGTGACGCATGTAGTTGTAGTCACAGGCGAAGTAGCTTCCATATTCATTCTCAACCTGCCATTAAAGTTCATTCATTGTTGCCTGCAATCATGTGCTAGAGATTATTGGTATTACCGAGTCATTTTACCTGGACAGTGATAATGTTGCCACCATTGATGTAGAGCCAAGGTTTAATTTTGGGGAGGAGGACAGCAAACCAACTGCTGACTGCCTCCAAGTAATCTGGTACAGAAGAAAGCATATTAATTGTGCATAAATATATTTGTGAAAACGGCATTCTGGTGTATTGGTGTCTGATTACCTGCGTCTGCTGAGCGAAGTATGATGTTTGGTTTTTGAAGAAGCCATGCTGGTAACCCACCCTGGAACATAGGTTTAGTAAAGACATTTAGTTTTTGGGAAATTATTTCTGGATCACAGATCAGATCACAATCTTCACCTGTACGCAGTGGCGTTCCTCAGAGATCTGTTGTAAACCCTTTTCTCTGTATTCTCTATATCCTGACTGTGGTCTCATTTTTAAGAAACAAGGTACACATTTTTCATACATGTACTGATAACATGTTGATCTACAAAATCTAATTCCACTCTCCCATCTTGCTCACTTATGTGGTGGCTATGTGAAAATAAATCAAGGTAATCTGGTAACACATTTGTTTAGGATGAGCTTGTTAACTATTCTCTAACCGCTCTTCCCAAGAACTTGCATGTCTTGTTTTGATAGCACATAATAATTTGAAAAGCAGGTCAGTCAAGTTTTCATAACTTCATGTTGCAGTTAACAATGCTTCTATTCTTGTAAATGCTCTGATTGCATTTCTGATTGGCTGCTGCTCAACGTTCCTCTCTGGTTTTGAACTTCTACATAGACTTCACCTGATACAACTCTTTTGTTGTCTTTTATTATGTTTATGTTATGTTGAATTTCCACCCTTACTTACTGTTTATTACCAATTTTAAATGTAATCTATTTATTCAGTCTCTACTTCTGAGTGCAATAGAGAATCTGTAACATTATGGACATTTTTAATAGTTTTTTTTCTTCTTGTGAAACAATAAATACTCTCAAATTACAGATTGGATTTCTCAAAAGTTAATGCAATATTTTTTTGAATGTAATAGAATGATAACACCAGAAGGACATACATTTATGCCTATTTGTCTGGTAAACATCTTTGAGATTACAGTTGTTATAAACTGGTACATCTTAAATATGTTTAAACTAGCGGGACGTACAAAATAAATTAAAATAGCAGTTTGTCACTGTCATAAAGTTAAATCTTTGTACATTTGATTTTTTATTCTTTTTTTTTTTTTTACATAAATGACATCTTCTATTATCCAGGCTTGTCACGCTGTACTGTGACACAAGCTGCAGGTTATTTTTGTTCTCCCTTTTGTGTTTTTTTCCCTTTTTTAACAGGCTCTTGGAGTGAAAGACATACATTCACAGTTTTGATATGGTTTGTTGGTTAAAACAATAACTTGACATAAGGATTGTCTTGTTTTTCTTTGACATTGTCACTTTCACAATGCTGCTTTAAATGTTTGTCACATTGTATTATTTGTGTAATTAAGGTCTTGTTGTGCAATTGATTTGCTCCTTTTTTAGCCTGTGATGTCAAAAACTAAATATAGTACATGACCAAAGTTACTTAAATTACCATTTCCCATTCTGCACAGATGTACGGTCCTGGACGCAGGATGACCAGGAGGCCTGTTTGGTTGGCCAGATTCAGAAAATGCTCCAAATCTCTGTCTCCTGTGAAGTTGTGGACTCCCTGAACTGCTTCATGGAAGTTCCAGGGAACATATCTGACAACACAAGGTGGGAATAAATAGGTTATCTCTCTCTCTCTCTTATATATATATATATATATATATATATGTGTGTGTGGTGTTTTGTAAGAGTATTAATATCCTCAGAACTTTTAACTCTTTTTAAAGCAACAATTCTTGGGATCCTACATGACAGACTAACCAGTGTATTACCATGGAAGTAAGTAAGATATTTTATTGCTTTTTCTTCTTACAATTAAAAATATGTAGTGTAGTCTTAGTTGCCTTTCTTTACTTTGATACCTTTCATTAAAATTTACATAATAAATAACTGCCTTATTTGTGCCCTGTCCCTCTACAAATCTCACCTATAAGCACAGATGGCAGCAAAGGAAGTAATAAAAAGAATTGTTTGCAGTCTTGTAACAAATAGGGCACACATGAACAAAAAAAATACCTTTCTGGCCTCCATGTTTTGCAGGAACTGAATACATCACAATACCCTGAACATACCATCCCCACAGTGAAGCACGGTGATGGCAATATGATGCTGTGGACAGGATTTTCTCACGGGGCATAATCAGGAGGTGAGTGTGCACGGCCTATTTCTCTCTTACTTTATTTTAATACAAAACAAAAACACCATGTATCCTTTTTTATTTCATCACAATTACGCACTGTTTACGTTGGTCTGTTGTATGACATTCCAATACAATCTACTGAAGTCAGTGGCTGGAACTGGACAAGATGTGGAAAAGGGTATGCAAAGCGATCTGTGTTTACAGTATGAAGTAGGATGTGTTTTGCTCACACTTGGATGGCATTGAGTCCAGTCATGTACATCTTCACCAGGCGGTCCTTCCAGTAATACTGCGGGATTCTGGAGTAGTGGATGCTCCCTGAGATGTACTGAAAAGTCTTTCCATCTTTCAGGAAGCAGTGGTTCTTGTAGTCTATGGAAAAGGATCTCGTTCCAGTGACCTGCGAGAAGAACCGTGGCATGCAACGTGATGGGAAGTTCTGCACACTGACACATCTGATTGTCATTTTCATCAACAAGGAAGCAGAAAGATCACTGCGTTAAATCTTTGCTGGTAGGTAAAAACACGATTGCAGTCAAAGAGCATAACATGAACTTTATCTGAACTGTTCTAGAAAACAAAAACACCCAGAGGAATGTAAGGAGGCATGTTAGTTTCCTTCTTACCAAACTTCCAGAAAGAGCTGAAAGCGCCGTGCAAACTGCAAAGAGGAGCGAAGCAGCAGCAGCCATGTCCGCCGCCTCCTCGGATCAGCGTCACCTAAAACACAGACATCACTCCGTGTATCGCCCTCTTTGCACAGAATTGGTGTTCTGCGTTTCTTCTGCACGAATGCTTATTGAAGAAGCAACATTTTAGTCCACATCCAGCCCGCTTCACAACCACTGTCATGTGACGTTTATTTTCTCTCGCTGCAAGGTCCTAGAGCCCGTCATTTAGCCCCAATTAAGCCATGTGGACAGAAATGCATGGCAGTTTTTGTTGTGTTTTTACACTTGTCTATTCAGTCAGTATTTTGTGAGGTCATTTTTCACTGTGCTTCAGGTTTTGTCTCTCTATCAACTTTGCACATGTCATTAGGAACCACGTCTCTAATGTGCTGTAATTCATTCAAAATTAGGTAGTCAGATAGACAAAAGCACATGTGTAAATTTTGGTATTTCAAATGATAAACTGAGAATAAGTAACATTTCCCAAACTATTAAAAATTAAATAGGATGATACAGTAAATCTACATCTCTGTTTTCTTTTTTAATAACAAATAATTACTGAAGTAAATGTTACAGAGTAAATGTAGTTAGCTACTGCCCACCTCTGCCCATATTTTGATAGGTCTGATGTTGTGACATGCTCTTTATATCTTTAGAAGATTGATGTAATCATGAAATGTAAAAGAAACCTCCCTCAAGTTATTGTTTTTAACCCTGTTAGAATAACCATATTATAAATTATTAATACTCCTGTTATCCCTGACCTCTCTGGTGCATTTATTGATCTAATGTTGTTTGCTTACAAACTTTAGGTGCCTTCACTGCTTTTATCAAATCACACATAGGTGGAATCTTCCCACTAATTATGTGACTTCTGTAGAATTGGTTCTATTTGATTTTATTTAGAGGTATCAGAGTAAAGGATACTGACATACAAAGGCCACCAGACATTTGGGACTTTTATTAGTAAAAATTATTAAACTATCTTTCCCTTCTCCTTCAACTAAAACCATTAAAAGCATACAAGAATTTGTTGTTCTATCTTAAACAGATGGTTGAAGCTAAATAAGTGAAATGTGTGGATGAAGAGACCCCTCAGTTGGTGTATGACTGCTCTCCCACTCTGCTGTCATGTTATGCTGTATGTCGGTGGTGGACAATTGCCTTTATGTTCAGCATGGCAAAATGACAAAGCAGCCAGTTCAGGAACAGCTTGCTTTATTTTAGCTTCAGGGGCTGTTTTTGTTTCTTCCTGAACGTCCTTTTAAGGGTTTTTGAATGACTGTCACTTAGCAAAAGATTTATTTTTTTAGCTTTTGTGCTCATCAATATATGTAAATTTGCCTTAAAAAGCATAAAAGGCTGTGGTGATATTTAATGAAGCGCTACCAACCATATTTATTAGGAGCCATCTTTAAGCTCTTCGGCCAACACTAGATGGCGCCTTAGTCCCTGAAAATGGCCATCTGGATGCTTCAAAGTGTCTTATTTCAACCACCATCAGTTGCGTTTGCACTTTTCTCTTTTTGTCCATATTTATTTATTTTCTAAATAAGGTGATTAATCTCAATAAAATAAATCCAACTTGCTTTTCAGACTCATGATCTCACCATTGTGGTAACAAAGGGTGGCAGTAAATTGGCCACTGTGCTAATGTGCAACAAGAACACTTGTTTATCTCAGTGTGACCTAGAATAATTAGGGAGTAATGACTGCATCACCCAGATTCATTGTATTTATACATATAATAATTGAGGCTTTTACTCTTTCTGTGGCAGTTTGATCATCATCACCATTTTTCTCAGTAACATTTTTAAACTCTAAACCCATTTCCTGTCTCTTCATTCATTACGCTCAGTACTAAAAGAATTCAATTGGTGTGCCCTCTAATGGCTAACTACAAGATCTAGAGTGCAGATAGGACAAATGTTCTGGCTTTGTGGCTCATTAGCTCCCTGTTGGAAGCAGGTTATTGTCCTGTGAATGAGAGGACCAAAGCATGACGCTCTGTAATCTGGTCATTAGCGAGATGGTGCTTGCTGAGAGATATGTCTGCATTTGAAGAAGCCCTGATGGACGCTCAAACCACAAAAACACTGAAGATCCTAATGCACTGAGAGTGTTTATCACTTACTGAACCACTGGGGAAGAAGTGGAAGTGGAATGGCTAAAAGAGTTGATTAAGAACAAAAATATATATTTCCCAACGTAAACATTGCAGTCCAGTTTCTTGCTACTACTGCTAGGAGAAGCACAAAAACACTGACCCCAGGGTTGGGCGTCACCTCCATGAAGTCATTTCCCCAGAGTCTGTAATTGGATTGGACCCTCCCCTCTGTGCCACAACCCCCAAAATGAGGCCCTCTTTGTTGTTTCTGCTGGAAGCAGGTGTATTCACAAACGTTCAGCCCCCAACTCCCATATGTACAGTCTAACTCATTGGGGGCAGCTGATGTTCAAAGAGACCACCACTTTTGTATGAAAATACCACTTTACATGTCATAATAACAACCAGTGAGCTCTAATCATATTAAAAAATATATATTGCTGTAACACAACATATTTACTGCATTGTTTTTTATTACCTTGAGAAATAGGTTAAAAAAAAAATCTATACATACATATTTTCCCTACTTGGTCCCACAAATAGAGGGAAAATGTAAATAAACCAAAACCACAGAGTTTTTAAAGCAGCACCAAGGTTCTCTGTTCTTTTTAGAGAACTGCTTTGTGGACCTACTCCTTGTTCAGTATGTAAAATTGGCAGCATTAAGATACTCCTGGCTTTGATTGGTGGTTTCTGACTAAATGCACTGAGATGAGGGGGAGAACTTTGCTCTTTTCACAGATTGTCTCATATTGTCACAACATGTTCACAGTATTGACAACTGTGTAACAAACACATTTTTGTAAGTTATGTGCTGTAGCATTCACTGGTCTTTATCTCAGTGACAGCCAAACTTCATGTGACTTTGGCAAAAATGTTCAAGCCAAAAGTACTTGCAGCTAGAAAAAAAACATTTTAAAAAAATGTTTTTTTCAAAATAATTATAGAGTTATATAAATGAATATTGTGAATTATGTATTTTACCTGCTTAATATTATACTGTGCATGCACTGCTGAAATGACTATCAAAAATCCTTCTCAGTTTTCTCACAGGAATCACCTGATTTTTAATTTAAAAAGTCCTGAAATTATTAGATGGCAATAACCAGGACAGCTGTGATTTTATTAAGCATAATTATCTATTTCCATTAGATGTCATATTATTTTCTACCCAAACATATATACTCAAATTGAAGTTTGGAACTTCACTTTTTTCTCTTATTGAGATGATCAGATTGAAATAAAAGATTGCTTTGTATTTTTAATTCATTTAAAAATATATATATATATATATATATATATATTTTAACTTTATAATTAAAATTTTATTTTAAAATAAAATGTTGACATTTTATTATATTAAAAAAATTACATTTTATTTTATTTTATCATTAAAAAAATTTAGTGGCGAACACAATAAATGTATTTTGACAAATTTATTGTGAAACATATATTTTGTCAATTTATGTTTGACAAATTATATGACAAATATGTAATTTGTCATATAATCATGACAAATTATATGTATATCTCAGTATTTATTGCACACCCAGGATGAAACCTATTTCTACCAATTCTAATTTAGAAATACCAATTCCCATTCTAATTTAACAGAACAACAGATGATTATTTTTAAGCATATAAACATAAAAGGTAACATTCATTGATAAGTGATCATCAGGAAGTTGAGTCACATACTGGGTGATAAAACTGGGGAATTTCTTAAAAAGTCTAGTGCTGAGCTCAGGATACAGCCAGGAATGTACCTTCACTGTGTTCTCAGGCCCTGAAAGGCCCCTGAGTCACTGCCGGGCTAATACTCTGGAATCTGAGAGGAATCAGCTCTGAGAAACTGAACAATAAACAAAAAAACATACCAGACCAAATAACAAAACCTCCTGCTATGTGGGCGCATTATATTACGTTTGCAGATCAGCCATCATTTTCTGAGTTTCTTGGAGTAATTAGGCCATAAATACTAACAGATTAGGAACAGAAAGCAATCTCTGTGTGGGAGTTTTAAAAACACAAGACGTTACAAATAAACAGGAAGCCGAACTTGTAGGGGAGCATGGGAAGAGTGTGAGTTGGCTCTCATTCCTCAGTCTTAAGGAAGGTATGGCATGTCCTCAGGGCGCATTCTTGTCTCAAGAGAACTGTGGTTGTATGGAGAATATTATGGAGAAATTTTGGGCAGAAAATGTCCTCTATATTATGGCA